TCAGTCCTACTTCTTGTTCAGCCAATCGCTTCAGCCTCCTCTTATTTGCAGGGGATAATGCTGCCCACTTCTTGTTTACATCACCTGAAAGTGAGAACAGGCGTTCTCATGGCACTGTTGTACCCGGCATCGCAAGATGCCAGATGCGCTAAAGATTCATATGTCCCTTCATGCTTCAGCCATTCCAGGGGACATGCGTCCAAAGCTGGGCGGACTGATGCATGTTCATTTTCATTATCTGAGTCAGATGCCACAGCAGAAGGTTGATTTTCTTTTTTGGTGGTATGGGTTCCATAGTTTCTGCATTGGAGTGTTGCTCTTTTAAGACTTCTGAAAGCATGCTCCACATTTCATCCCTCTCAGATTTTGGAAGGCACTTCAGATTCTTAAACCTTGGGTCGAGTGCTATAGCTATCTTTAAAAATCTCACATTGGTACCTTCGTGTTTTGTGAAATCTGTAGTGAAAAGTGTTCTTAAAATGAAGAACACTTGCTGGGTCATCATCCGAGAGTCCTATAACATGAAATATATGGCAGAATGCAGGTAAAACAGAGCAGGGGACATATAATTCTCCCCCAAGGAGTTCAGTCACAAATTTAATTAACATATTATTTTTTTAATGAGCATCATCGGCATGGAAGCATGTCCTCTGGAATGGTGGCCAAAGCATGAAAGGGCATATGAATGTTGAGCATATCTGACATGTAAATACCTTGCAATGCTGGCTACAAAAGTGCCATGCCTGTTCTCACTTTCTGGTGACATTGTAAATAAGGAGAGGGCAGCATTATCTTCCGTAAATGTAAACAAACTTGTGTCTCTTAGCTATTGGTTGAACAAGAAGTAGGACTGAGTGGACTTGTAGGCTCTGAAGTTTTACAGTATTTTGTTTTTGAGTGCAGTTATGTAACAAAAAAAATCGACATTTGTAAGTTGCATTTTCATGACAAAGAGATTGCACTACAGTACATGTATGAGCTGAATTGAAAAGTACTTTTTTTTTGTTTATCATTTTTACAGTGCAAATATTTATAATAAAAAATAATATACACTTTGATTTCAATTACCAGACAGAATACAATATTTATGAAAATTTAGAAAAACATCCAAAATATTTAATAAATTTCAATTGGTATTCTGTTGTTTAACAGTGTGATTAAAATTGAGATTAATTTTTTGCATCGCAATTAATTTTTTTGAGTTAATCGTGTGAGTTAACTGCGATTAATCGACAGCCCTACTAAAAAGTAACTTGTTGCATCAATCTCAAAATGTAAAATATTAAGATCTGCAGGGAGCTCTGACTTATTCTGCCAGAGGGCTTGCATGTTGGCTCACAGGGCAGACCTGACTGTAGTCCATCTACAAGGGTACTACTTAAAGGGAAAACTGTTCTGAATTTTGCTATGGAACGGACAAAAATAGCAATACCTCCACTAAAAAGGCCCCAAATCTGTCAGAAAAAAGGGTGTTGCACCTATGCAAAACCATTCTCTCTTTCCCTACAAAACCTATGTGAACTCCGCACTGTTGGGAATCCTTAGGTTTTGCGGGCATGGCTAGCCAGACAAGGGGCACAATCAGAGTTCAGACCACAGCATCACCTGTAAAACCGGCCACAGCAACCCTTGTCTCACTTTATCATTCTGTAAAATATGTAGAGTTGTACTTGCCTATGCCACAAAGCTTAATTGATTAATTTTAGTGAAATTCTTTGAAATATCCAGATGATAACAGCAGTCACTTATTTTAAATGGGTGGCTAACCCTACTCATCAATCAGAACACAGATTCTAACATAAGAATTCAATAGCAATCTTCAAACAGGACTATTTAATATAATCACAAATTAAATCTCAAGCAAAATAAAAACCACCATAAAATGCTCCACGTGTTGTCCCCCTATGGTGTTAAAAATACCCTAACATATTTATTCAGGACCTTAAGACAAGTTGTAGTTAAATTTTAAATACACCACTACCCCGATATAATGCAACCTGATATAACACGAATTTGGATATAACGCGGTAAAGCAGTGCGCCGGCGGGGCGGGGCTGCGCACTCCGGCGGATCAAAGCAAGTTCGATATAACACGGTTTCACCTATAACGCAGTAAGATTTTTTGGCCCCCGAGGACAGCGTTATATCGAGGTAGAGGTGTACATGAATACCCATTTAAAAAATAATTAGTCTACAGAATGCTAGACCTGAAGAAGAGGTCTGTGTAGCTCAAAAGCTTGTCTCTTTCACCAACAGCAATTGGTCCAATTAAAGATATTACCTCACTCGCCTCCTCTCTCTACACAGGGGTTCTCAAACGGGGGGTCAGGACCCCTCGGGGGGTCATGAAGTGTCAGCCTCTACCCCAAACCCCGTTTTGCCTCCAGCATCTATAATGGCGTTAAATATATTTAAAAGTGTTTTTAATGTAAAAGGGGGAGGTCGCACTCACAGGCCTGCTATGTGAAAGGGGTCACCAGTACAAAAGTTTGAGAATCCCTGCTCTACAGAATATTAACTAGATATCGAAACTTCCAGTGCCTTTGCCTGAATCAGCATCTCATTCCCTATTCTGAGCAGTGACTTATTTAAGTAGTGTTAGTTGTTTTTCTTTCAGGCTCTGCTGACCATTACTGAAGTGCATCTATTTCTCATCAGCTAGCTCACAATCAATCCAATCTAGCAGCCTTACTCCCACCAGCTGTAATTTTTGTCATGCCTCATAAACTAAGCAGGGTTCAGCTAATTCTGTAGGTGGACAGGAGACTCTGGAGTAGACCAATGGGACTGTAGGAGTTGGATGTTGATTTAGTAACTAATCCTTCTTCTCAATCAGTATTGAAGCAGTGCTCCAGCCAGGACTCAACTGGCCGTTGGAAAGGGGAGCCAGCATGAGGACATAAAGTCCCTGCTAGACCGAACAGTAATTCATACACACATACAATTTCTACTGGTACTATTTAGGCAAATTACAGGGGCTGTGTTTTGTGCCTTATCACTTCTGCAAGCAGCAGGGCATATTGAAAGGCATTAAAGAGACCTGGTGCTGGTAACATCTAGTTACAGTCTGTCCCTGTAATATACTGTGTTGCACAAGGCCCCGCAGGTGTGCCCTGGTGTTATTACTATTATTCGTTTCTTGTTTCCATTTCCGCCCACAGTGTGCTAAGCCCTGCACAGGCACAAAAGAAGGCACTAGGCATGGTCCCTCCTTTGAAGTGCACGAGGCTGTGCCCTGCTGAGGCCTCGTCCTGCCCTCTGCTGCGGTGGGTGATGGCCATGGAGTTCCTGGCACTACCCAGGCATTCCTCGTGCTGCATCTTAGTGATACCTGCAGTGTACCCCATGCCCCAATGATGCCTGTGTCGTTCTGCGCCTTGCATCCCCCATGCCACCTCCTCACGCCCGTGGGGTTCCCCACCCCAAAACCCTGTGCCACCTCCCCACGCCCGTGGGGTTCCCCGCCCTGCACCCCCCGGTGCCATCTCCCCACGCCCGTGGGGTTCCCCACCCCGAACCCCTGTGCCACCTCCCCATGCCCGTGGGGTTCCCTGCCTCGCATCCCCCGGTGCCATCTCCCCACGCCCGTGGGGTTCCCCGCCCTGCCCCCCCATGCCACCTCCCCACGCCCGTGGGGTTCCCTGCCCTGCACCCCCCGTGCCACCTCCCCAAGCCCGTGGGGTTCCCCGATTCGCATCCCCGGTGCCATCTCCCCACGCCGCAGGGACGCCCTGCGGTTCCCCGGGTGAGCCGGTCAGACCCGCCTCTGCCCCGAGCTCCCAGCCAGGCTCTGGCTCTCCGCTAGCCACCTCGCCTCGCCGCGGATCCGTGCGCTCTGGGCTGGGCACGGCTTGGCTCGGGCGCCGAGCGGAACGGGGACTCTTCAGCGAGGCGGAGGGAGACGGGACACGCGAGGCCCGGGTTCCAGAGCGTGGAACCCTCTGTTGCCAGCGGCAGGCTGCGGGGAGCCGGGGCAGGGGTGGCCGCGCCCGCCGCTCCGGTTCCCGGGGCAGGGAAAGGTGCGTTTCCCGCGGCGCAGCGCAGCGCAGGCTCGGGCGCAGTTGGGAGCGCTGAGCCCCCTGGCCGTTTGCAGGGAAGGAGCCCGGCGAACGGGAGCGCTCCCTCCTCCTCTGGGTGCTGCGCGGGCAGGGGGCAGCTCTGATACGCGGAGCCTCCCGCTCTGGATGCAAAGTTTAAAGAGGCAGGTTAGAAGAGAGAGGCTGTGTTTGCTGGGGGGAGGGGTATCTCTGTATGTGCAGCGCTGGGTCCACTGAGGCCCGGGTTCTCCTGATAACCCCGGTGCTGCCTGCCGGTCTCCCGGAGAGCACCGCAAGCCATCCCCAGCTACTTACCCCTGGAACACAAGCAGCTGCCTGGGGGCAGGAACTGCAGCTGCTTCCTAATGGACTCGCTGTTTAAAAAGGGCACATTCTCGCTAGTACCGCTGGAGGCTCTGGTACTGCTATGGCAATGCCAGGGGTTACTGTGCTAAGCTCCGAGCACGTGCCTACGTGATTGCAGGATCAGGGCCGTGGTGATTTATATGTGGGTTGGGGAAGTGGGGAAGTTTTTTTAATCTCTCTTCCCCTGCCTCTACTCATCCTCTCCCATGAAAAAAATCTCTCTTCCCTTTAAAAATTCGGTAGCTTACTAGCTACCAGCTGAACACATTTTCCCTTTGTGTTTCTTCTGTGCTTCCCTTTATTATTTGCCAAGTATGTTGACTTGCTGTTTGCCTTGGTCTGCTGCTTGGAGACCTTTGTGTGGCTTCTCCCTGCCTCCAGGAATTAATCCCTGGATATTATATGTGTGGGTTTAAAAGCATTCCCGAGAGAGAAGTAACAGGTTTTTCTGCCTCCCCTAAACTCCTCTTCCCCACGACTGCATGGGCACTGGCAGAGGTGACTGCTCACTCCTGGTATACAGCGGCAATGGAATAAGGACTTGTCCTTTTCTACTCTGCAGCCAGAGAACCAAGGTGCTGGTGACTGGGCTGTAGGATGGCATTGCAAAAGCAAAAGGAGGACGTCTCTGGAGAGCTGACAGAACCTTTTGCCCAGGATTCAAAGACAAAGATGGTGGAGGAAGAGGAAGAAGCGGTGGTGGAAGTGGAGTTGGAGGCCCTTGGCTCTGAAAGCAGCTTTGAAACTGAAACCCCGGATGTACTTGGGGACGGTGGCCACCCCACCCCTGAGGACGAAGACAGCAGGCCCTTGTTCTTTGAGAAGAACCTGGAGCAACTTGACACCTCACACACAGTAATGTGTACATTCTCAATTTCACTAGCTGTGCCAATGGCTGCAGGTAGGTACCAGACATGACCCCTCCTGTTCCTTTAACCCCTGTGGCTCATCTCCAGACCCAAATGGGATTGGGAAGCAAACTGCAGAAAGGATGTTGGCTCATTTATATCCCTTCTAGCTGTAGTTGTGGGTGAGTCTCCTCGCCCTTGTAATACTATCATGGGGTCCTGTTGACTTTGCTAATTTTATAGTATTATATAGAAGATGCTCAAGGGAATGGTTATGGGGAGGGACCCTTGTACCATTAGATTCAGTTTCAGGCTTAGGTCATAGTGACTGAAAACCTTTACCATTTGATAGCTCTTCAGTAGCCAGTGTTATTCAAGTTGATGGTCTTAGTCAGTCTTTGCAAAAACAGTCATTGTAATTGATTCCTGTGTTTATAATCTGCCTAGCGTGGCCAAGAGGTGAATGGCTATGGAGGTTAAACTCCTTTCCTTTAGCTCTAAACGTGGTCTCCTTAGATCAGGACTAAAGCTCATTTGATGTGTCAGTATAGGGTAGCTTGGGCAGCTGCTGCTGTGCTGTACTTTGTCTGTCTATGCGTTTATTTTCCAGTGAAGCACCTTTTCAGGCATTCCCAGTCCTGCAAGTGCTAATCTTTATTCATTGTGAGCTGTCCCATTGAACTCCATTGTAATTTAAGGGAAAGGTGGGTTAGGTACTATATCTAACTTAGGTATAAATATTTAATGCACCTGCTACCATAGTATCTATGTGCGGATGTTCCCAATCAGTATGTTTTTACTATAGATTTAAAATTCTCTATTGTCTGGAAAATTCTCATTTTTTGTCCTTTGTTTATTTGACAGATCTTGGTCTCCCCTCAAGTGTATATAATGAACATTATTACTTTCAGGATCTTTTCTTGCCTATTCTCCAGCATTACCGATTCTTATACAACTGTGGGAATGACAATATTTAGTTAGGATATGGATTACTTTTTGTTTAATACTGATACTGTTTCTTTTTTCATGCATCATGTATAATCAGATGAATTTATTATTCATTAAAATAATTCGACAGGATTGTTAGATGCCAGACAGTTCAGCGTTTACAACTAATACGTGCATCAGCACTAAAAACCAGGAAAATATATTTCCAGTGGACTTTTAACAGTTTCCCGTATGCATCTTTCACTGTGAAGGCTATAGGTTTATGCAAGCAATCATTTGGATTATAGTATGAATATATGTGGGACAAAACCAGTATCTGTAAGGGAGATTCTGTCATAACTTCATCTAGTTACAGGTCAAGAAAATGTGTAGCCATTAATTTTGTACGATTTTAAAGTAGAACTAAGAATTGGTGCTGGGCTTTACTCAAGAGGTTCTGAACATCATTGAACCTGTTGGCAAACCTGGACTGAGTTTGTAGTTTGTAATGAAAACTGAAACTAAGCAAAAAACTCAAGTGATAAATTTGATGTTATGTGCAACTTAGTGGAGATGAAGACTACATTATGGGCCTGATTCTGAAGCCACATGTGGAACTCTTATTGACAGCATTGGGCAATTCTGTACAGAGAGAGGCTGCAGGATTAGCCCAGATTGGGGGCAGGGGAAAGCATTTTCCCTCTCAAACGTCCGTTAGTTATAAACCAAGGACTAAAGGGCTGGATCTGCGTTATATATTTTTCTATTGTAGAGAAAATCCAGATGGCTGAATAGAAATGCTAAAGTGAATCTGGACAGCTAATATTGGTTGATATGATATGATTCTATGAACCATATATTCCTCAGCTGATGTGAATCAGTGCAGCTTTGTTGAGGTCAGTGGAGCTATGTTGTTTTACACCATCTGAAAACCTGATCCAGTAATCTTAAAACAATATTTGGGATGGGAGGAGAGAGAGAAACCTGTATTTTAAACTGTGAGGGCAGATCTATAGAAAAAGTTCAAAGGATCAGAAACAAAATCATGTTTAAGGAATATTGAAAAGAACATAAAATAAGGAGACAGCAGAACTAGGGCTATCAAATTATTAAAAAAATAAGAGATTAATCGCACTGTTAAACAATAATAGAATACCATTTATTTAAATATTTTGGATGTTTTCTACATTCTGCACTGTTTTGAATTGTTATTGAGCAGAACCCATCATCCGCATGGAAGCATGTTTTCTGGAATGGCGGCCAAAGCATGAAGGGGCATATGAATGTTTAGCATTTCTGCCACGTAAATACCTTGCAGTGCTGTCTACAAAAGTGCCATTCGAATGCCTGTTCTCACTTTCAGGTGACATTGTGAATAAGAAGCGGGCAGCATTATCTCCCATAAATGTAAACAAACTTGTTTGTTTTAATGATTGGTTGAACAAGAAGTAGGACTGAGTGGACTTGTAGGCTCTAAAGTTTTACATTGTTTTGGTTTTGAGTGCAGTTATGTAACAAAAAAACCCTTTTGTAAGTTGCACTTTCTCTATAAAGAGATTGCACTACAGTTAACTTGTATGAGGTGAACTGAAAAATACTATTTCTTTTGTTTATCTTTTTTACAGTGCAAACATTTGTAATAAAAAATAACATAAAGTGAGCACTGTACATTTTGTATTCTGTGTTGTAATTGAAATCAATATATTTGAAAATGTAGAAAAACATCCAAAAATATTTATAATTTCAATTGGTATTCTGTTATTGTTGAACAGTGTGATTAAAACTGTGATTAATCATGATTAATCTTTTTAACCAAGTTCATTTGTTTTGAATATATCACTTGAGTTAACGACGATTAATTGGAAGCCCTAATCAGAACATAGCTCAGCAATGTCCCGTGGAAGGCTACTAGCAAACATTTGTTCATTGTGTCTTTGGTTTTACTATTATTTGTGATATTGTGTTCATTGGAAATTTGGGATGTTTGTCCCGTGGATTGAGCAGGACTAGGCTTAAATCTAGTAAAGCTCTTTCACCAGTAACTATCTATTTGACAAGCACGTCTTTTTATCTGGTTTCTTTTCTTTATTTAAATAGACCTGAAGTTTTAACTGACAGGTTTTTTGTTTCCTTTATTATTTATGAGCTATATTATCAAAAATATAATCAATTACTAATCTGGGAATAGTGTTATTAGAGGCAAATCTAGCCCCTTGGCCCATGGGCAACTTTGCAACAGAACTGGTGTGGTTCTGATGTTAAATAGGGGTATCTGGATGTGGCAGGAGTGTACTTAGGAGTTGTGTAGTAAAGAGTCCTGATTCTTCCATGCAAGCTGTCTGTGTAGCATAGGGTCATAGGTGGTGGGGAGTTGCAGGGCTGTAGGATCTGTTGCTGTGCTGAGCTTGACAACATCTGAAACTTTCTAAATCCATATAAATATTTTTCCTAGGTCCAAAGCATAGGCCATCCAATTTAACTGACAGGCAGAGAAAAAAGTCTAATGTTGGGAAAGATGCAGCAGCTATTCCAAAAATGCGGCGTTACTACCACATTGAGTACTTCCTTCTACCAGATGATGTTGAGCCTAGGAAACTTGATTTGGCGTTGTTTGGTGTGGTGGCCAAGCTGTTTGTGGAATGTGAATCCAAGGTAAATAGTATGATGTTTATAATTTTGGGAATAACTAGTTTTTATTTACTATGACCTCTATTTGGCATAAGAGATATTTCTGAAATATTTATGCAAGAGTGGCTGTCATACCAGTTTAAAACTGAACAGTCCTGTACTTCATGTAGTGGAGCAATGGAGAATGCTTCCAAATGTGATGTAGGTGAGTCATGCTCATACTTTTATTAGCACTACTTGGGCCTTGTCTACACACACAAGTTATTTAACTCGACCACTATGGATGATATTAGCACTACTTGGGCCTTGTCTACACACACAAGTTATTTAACTCGACCACTATACTGATATAAGCACCTTTATTTCGATACAATTGTATCGAAATAAAGGTGCTTATATCAGTATAGCTGATTCCCATACAAGACAGGTGAATAAGCTACACTGATTTAAGGCATCTTTATAGCGGTATAAATGCTTCTGCACTGGGGTTGTACTGGAATAACTATTTCGGTAAAGAGATCACACCTGTAACTGAAGTAGTTATGCCACTACAAAATCTGTGTGTAGACAAGGTTTGAGATTTGTGCTTTATATTCTTTACAACATTTTGAAAGCTTATACCTTTATAAGAAGACTGCATATGTGTTTTTTTTCCAAACTGAAAAGTAAATCATCTTCTAATCAACTTGAAATATTTTAAGTGATTTTTCTTACAAAATAGTAGATTCAGTTTTGGAAAAGCTAAATTATATTCCTAGTAGCTTCCTAAGAAATTTCCTAATAATATCGCATGTTTTCATAGGTTCAGTCTATACTAATGTAGAAACACTTTATATTGTAGAATTGTTTGAATCAAAGCTCCAAAATGAGTATAGAGAGATGCACAACTTACAGTACACATGGAATTAATTTGGTACATATTTTAATGAGGATGCATTTGTAACACGTTTTTGATCCAAAGTATCATAAAGCATTTCACAAACTATTGGCTCAGTTATGCAGGTTGTTGAGCATCCTTAACTCCCAATAACTTCTGTGAGAGTTGATGCATATATGAGAGAAATAAATAAAATATTTTGAATATAACCTTTGAAAGTGTAATTAATCATTTATTTCTCCTTCTAATCTCTCAACATGAATGGTTTAATTTGCAGATTTTTTTTCAAAGTAAAATAGGGAATGTAGCCATAGTTGGCTGAAAATCTTAACTTCAGAGTTTTGTGTTCAAAAAGGTTCATTTTTTAAATAATTGAATTGAGGGGAAAATGTGCTTGTTATGATAATATGAGTAGGACATGTATTGTAGCATAAAGGGGGACCTCAGCCCCCCCATTTATCTTCCCCCTTATTTGTAAAGTGGGTTGTTATCTAAACTAAAAAAAAGAGAGAGAGAGAGAGAAAGAACTTGGTCCTATTTTTTTCTGCATGTGCTTTTATATTTTCAGTTAAAGACAGATACCTTTTGGGGTTTTTTGTTGTTATCTGCTGAAATGTTTTTGTTGTTTCCTCTAGGGCTTAAACTTGGTTTTGCCCTGTCATTATTATTGGGTTTTTTTTCAAAAGGCCAAAAAACTTAGTACTATAACATGTATATTCCATGCTTAGAATTCTCATAAAGCTATAGCACAGAAGTGGTGCTGTAAGTCGGAAGAGTGAATTTAGTCCCTCTCTTTTTGTCAAGGGGCAAAACTTTCAAAAGTGCTTAAGTTACTTAGGCTCCTGTGGCCCTAGTCCTCAAAGGTATTTAGGGCCTAACTACCTTTAAGGATCTGGGCCGTAAATCACTTGGGTGCTTTTGAAAATTTTACCCGAGATTAATAATGAAAATAGAACATCTCTCTAGATGACGTTTATAAATTAATAGTGAAAGACTACTATTAAGCAGAGTTAGATGTGTATTCTTTAACTACCTTTATCTTGGTTTAAAGAGACTGAACATCGAGTTATTTAAAAAGAAATCAATCCCAGAAACAGTTTTAAAACCTAAGTATAGTTTTGGCCTGAAGGATATGAGAGAGACCACATCGTTGGTAAAGGACTTATCCAACTCACCATATGCCACTGACTATAGTGAACGGAGGTCAAATCTTTCTGATCTAAGTCTTTCTTAGACAGCCAATGCTCACTAGGATCACTGTCCATTGAGGGACTGGTATACTTATCCACCCAAAAAGGTACTTTTCAAATTATCCCCTAATACCAATGTGCACTGTTTCTAGTTGTGACATTTTCACCAACTCCTTCAGAACACTTGCTCCTGGAGTGATACTTTTTGAGTATTGACAGTCCAGTGTTAGCTAACTCACTAGTACACAGCTGTTGCTGTATTACTCCAGTAATTCTGTAGTGAAAATTACAGCTATGCTTCAGGAAGTGCAGAAAGAAATGGGGCAAGAACACTGAGCAACTTCAGTCTTTGGCACAGTTCACTGAGCTTCCTTTTGCTTCAGGAGCACAACTTAATAAGGACCATCTTGGAAAATTAAATTAAAATTGCTTCCAGGTGAAGGGCATAGTTGAATAATGTGGATGAAAGTCTGTTTGCTGCCCAGAAACCACTGCCCTTTAATTTGACAATGAATCCTGCCCTGCCCACCTATCAGTGATCAACACTGAACAGGGCCTCAAACTTTAGGGTATTAATGTTGATGTTCTCCTACTCCTTTTGATAAGATGGTCTTTTCATACTGCCTTTGGTACCCACAGACCCAACTGGAGCAGTCTGTCCGTACATTGCATGGATTCTCAAGTGTGTACTGTCAAAATGGTGGTACACCTCTACCCCGATATAACGCTGTCCTCAGGAGCCAAAAAATCTTACCGCGTTATAGGTGAAACCGCATTATACCGAACTTGCTTTGATCCGCCAGAGTGCGCAGCCCCGCCCCCCCCCGGAGCGCAGCTTTACCGCGTTATATCCGAATTCGTGTTATATCGGGTCGCGTTATATCGGGGTAGAGGTGTATATAATCTTCTGCATTCCTTAAAGAGTGCAACTGAGTGAATTTGTGGTTGCTGTTTTTTTCTAAATCATTGTTGTTGATGGTATGTCTGGCAATATATAATAAAAATAGATAAATTACATATGCAGTTAAAATGCGCTCTCTCTCTCTCTATCTATCTATATATGAATAATAGAAAGGTATATTAGCTTGAGAGAGTGCAGTTAAGATACTTTCACTTTGTCATTTCACTTTTCCATTTCTTTTCCTTCCTGTTTTTGCCATCCTTTCCCTTTTTCTTTTTCTGTCAGCCATCGACTGCACAGGTTCAAGCAGAGCGCTACAGGCAGAAACGGCCGACAACAATAATTTCCTCAGTGAGTGGATATAAAACTGTAGGAGAGTTTTAGAGATGGAGAATTGTAGACCCTGGATGCCTTTTTAAATGTATTATTTGTTTAATGTGTGACCTGATGCTCACTCATTGCGTTCCATATAAACCGTGCACTAAATGAGGCAGGAGTGTTCATAATCTCAGCCTCCCTCACCATTCAGCCTACCCACTGATTGAAATAGTGGGTCTGACATAATCTGAGATTAAGAGAGAGAGAAAGGAGGTGCGGTAATACCTTTTGTTGGACCAACCTCTGTTAGTGGAAGGGATACGCTTTCCAGCTTTACAGAGCCCTTCCTCAGGACCTGAAACAAGTGATGTTAGGACCCGAGGAAGAGCTTTGTGAAGCTCAAAATCTTCTCTCTTTCACCAACAGAAGTTGGTCCAATAAAAGATGTTACCTCACTTGCCTTGTCTCTTGTATCCTAGGACCAACATGTCTACAGTAACACTGCAAACATACCATGAGTATTGTATCCGTGTTGGTTCTAGGATATAAGGGAGACAAGGTAGGTGTGGTAATGTCTTTTACTGGACCAATAAAAGATATTACCTCACCTATTTTGTCTTTCCTTATGAGATTATCTTTTCAATTAAAAATCCCACACTATTTCTAAATGTCCATCTGTTTGTTGCCAATGATTTGTAAGTTTTATCTCTTAACAGAAATCATTCTGCACGTACAAACATTTTTAAACATTGAAAAATTACAAAATCTTATATGATTTTCACTGAATCACGCAAAGGCACATCAATGGGGCAGCCATTACGGACCTGGCATTTTTCTAGTTTCTTACACCTTTTGGTGAGGAACTTCATCTCTTTAATAAAATAAAAGAGTGCAAAACTTCTTTAGGAGGAAAAACTGAATTTATTTTGGAGAACAGCTGAACTGTTTGTAGTGAAATTTTCAGGGGGAAAAAGAATTTGCCCCTTGATTAAAAACGGGTATGCTAAATTTTGACCAAAAAGTGTAATGCATTGGCAAAGTTATTCAAAAGAGAAAATGCACCTTTAGAATTGAAATGTTTGGGTAACAATTAGTGTAGGGCTCAGTCCATATTTAACCTATAATAGTTTTAAAGCATCCTTTATACATATGTTTCCTATGCAGTCACAGTAGAAATGAGGATACTAGAGAATGTGAGGTGTGAGTGACTGAGGACTTGGCTAAACTTGCGAGTTAGTGCACAATAAAGGAGCCCCGTGCGCACTAGCTCATTCCCCGTCCACACTGGCAAGGCACGTAGAGGGCTCTGACTCCGCGGCTAGAGCGCTCCTGGTACTCCACCTCAGCGAGTGGAATAACGTTTGATGGGCCCCTGCTAGAGCGCTGCGGCGCCAGTGTGAACGGGGTGTTGCATTACTGTGCTGTGATCAGCCTCCGAAAACGTCCCATAATCCCCTTAAGTCAAGTGGCCACTCTTGTCATTGTTTTGAATCACTGCAGGAATGTGGATATGGCCTTTGAAAGCTCTGTTTCTGACAGCCGGCTGCTTATCTGCTCCAAGACAAAGCAACCATTACTGTGGAATGCTGTGTGTGAGAGAGAGAGAGGCAGAGGGGAGAGGGAAGTCTGCTGCTGTCTGAATTTACAAGACAGCATGCTGACATGCTCTCAGCCCCCGAAAAATCCACTCTCTCTCCCCCCACATACACACAACACACTCCCTGTCACGTTGCAGTCACTTGCATGCTGGGATAGCTGCCCATAATGCACCACTCCCAATGCCACGGCAAGTGCCGCAAATGTGGCCATGCCAGTGCAGAAGCAGCTGTCAGTGTGGACAGACTGCAGCGCTTTCCCTACTGCACTCTCCGAAGGCGGGTTTAACTCACATCACTCTACATCTGCAAGTGTAGCCATGCCCTGAGAAAAGTAAGAGACAAGTGGATGAGGTAATATCTTTTATTGGATCAACTTCTGTTGGTAGAGGGAACAAGCTTTCCAGCTTCACAGAGCTCTTCCTTAGGTCTGGAGAAGCAGTGTCACAGCTAAATACAAAGTGGAACAGATTATTAAGATTAACAGGTTCACACATGCTGTAGGAGACCACTTAAAATGAAGTGGGCACGTAACACCACTGCAGTTCTAGGATAAAGGATGGTTAGTAGGCTGCAGTGTGTGTTACAAATTGTTGTAATGAGCCATCAAACCAGTGTGTCTGTTAAGACCATGATTTTTAGCCTCCTACAGAGTTATGAATTTAAGTTCCCAGGCTCCTAGTTTGAAGATGTTGTGCAGGTTGCCTTTGAGGATGAGGACTGAGAGGCCAGATATGGAGTGATCACTTTGTGAAATGTGGTCATCCTCAGGTGATAAGGTGTTTTTGTCTCTTTATCATTGTTCTGTGTGAGTTCATTTGAGAACATAGTGATTGTCTGGTTTCACCCACATAGCTGTTTTGGGGGCATTTGATGCACTAGATCAGGTACACTCTATGTTGTGATAGGCATATGTTAGACCCATAGAGCAGTGGTCTCCAAACTTTTTTGATCACGCACCCCTATCAGTAAAAAAATTTTGAGCACACACCCCCTGCCATGCCGGCTCTACCATTTTTGCCAAAGCAAAAAAAAAAAGACGCTTGGACGAAGAGAGAGGAAAAAAAAAAGCCCTCCTCCTGCCGCACACCCCCAAGGATCCTCTTGCATACCCCACTTTGGAGACCACTGCCATAGAGCTTGAAAGGTGCGTTGTGGAGGATATTGATCATCTGAGCAGTGGAGATATGTCTGCAGGTTTTGCATCTATTGTTCTGGAAAGGTCAGGTGCCTCATTGAATTGGTTTACCTTGGTCTGTGGGGAGCTAGCTTCTGATTGATGAGCTTGGCAAGGTTGGGGAGTTGTTTGAAGGCCAGAAGAGGGGTTTCCTGAGGAAGAGCTCTGTGAAGCTCAAAAGCTTGTCCCCACCAACAGTGGTTGGTCCAATGAAAGATATTGTCTGCCCACCTTGTCTTTCTCATATCCTGGGACCAACATGGCTACAACAACACTGCAAACAGCAATCAGAAAAATAAGGAAGGTCAGATCCTTGTTTGTTGTAGGAAACCTAGAGGAAGTGTGTTTCAAGCAGTGTTTTGCAATGGGATGGGGAAAACCTTTAGATGGAGGGAGCTGTGCAGCAAAAAATCAGCCAGTGAAAAAGAAGTGAAGCTTATGTTATGACATTCTCTCTATACAATAGTTGATGATATGACGGCTAGAAATATGTATCTGATATTTTGTATTAGGCCATTTAAGGTCCTCTATAAATAATGAAGGATTGGGGGTACTGGAGGAAAGAGAGTGCTCAGGAACGATGTCCCAGAGGCCATGGCTAATGCACAGAAATGAAATTTGTTGTTCCAAGATCCTGCATCCCTTATTTACCAAAGTAGTCCCAGTGATTTCATTGGTTCAAGCTGTCTTGACAAATTAGCTCCCACTTAAATTTCACACATAAAATCAAATTTCTGCTTTCAAATATGCATCTGAAAGGTTTTGAGGCTTTTTTTGGAAATAGATTTGGGACCAAATCCTGCTTACTCACCTTACTCACGTGGGTAGGCTTATTAACTTTTCCCATGAGTAAGGGTTGCAGGCTTTACATTTTCACTTGGATTATGTAATGTCTTATTCATACAGTCGATGCAAAAAAGCCAACTTGTATCTTGCTTCTGTCATCTTTTCCTCCTTATTCCGAGCCCTTCTGATTGGCTGTCTGATTTCTTGCCCATTTCTTTAACATTCAGGTTTTCTTTTCACCTCCTGGCCAAACAACACGAAGTTTTAAAGTCAATTGCATGTTGATAAAAGATGTCAGAGTTACATTCCTGGAAACCAAAGACAAATGACATAGTATATTGTAGAATATAGGGTGGATTTTAGCACTTGTGCTTTCATTTCATTTATACTAAGTCAACATTTAAAAATGTATACATACAAACTTGTAGTTTTTCATTCAGTCTTCAATATATGTTCTTCCTCTTATTGGCAGTTTAACTTCTGTTCTGATCCCACATCTTTGCAAAATCAGAATTTGGTTTGATATAGCCATTTTGACTTAGTTCAGCAAAATGTGCTGCTGTGACAGTCAGCTGACACATAGACTCATAATTATGTACAAGATCTCTTTAGAAGGTTCTGATAACCTCCAGCATGATCTAATTTTAATTTACACTTTAAGAACAATTTCATTAGTTTTTAGCACATATCTTTATTAATGTTGTTTGTTACCCCTATCCCAACTGATGGCCAATTGCTCTCTGAGTGGGAAAAATTATATGGGGTGCTATATCGTGCTTTACTCCATTCTCTCTATCTAGTGGCTGTATAATCCATGCCCCTTGAATTAATCAAATGTTTTACTGCTCCCTGTGCACGTCTGGTGTTTTGTAATTCTAAGGCTCTTTAAAAATTCAATTAAAATATGGTCATTAATGGATCCTTTCCCCTCAATATCTGCAGCTAAATGGCAACAGAATGTTCATTGTGTGAATCTTTCTTCAGTACTTGTCACATTCATTAATGTTTTTCAACTCTGTTCTTCCTAGGTTGTGAAACCGTGGTTTGAAAATGACCAAATATGGGTGTCCTGGAACCACAGTATTAATATTCATGTTACTAATGAGTTTCTAATAAAACTGAGAGATCACAAAGTAACTCTGACAATATGGGATACCAAGGACAAAGTTTCTGCAAAAGCTAGGTTTAGTAAACCCAGGGTTCCTTTTTCGCAGGTAGAGGATTCAGATGCTATTGGTAAGTTAAGTATTAATGTAAATAGCCACAGTCCTTATAAAATGTATTGCGAGAAAGGAGATTTAGCACAAACAAGAAAACAAAATGATATTATTTTTAGTTTTAATACAGGATTACAGTAATTCATCATATTGCTAATGTATCACTTCTGTTTTTCATAACCAACTTGCGTGTGCCCACTGTTTAATAATTTTATTAGATGGTTATTTCAGATTCATATAATGTGAACCCCATAAGAATTATTGATATTTGTTCATATTTTAAGAAATCTTCAGGTTTGTCCCCAATGAACTTAGAGGCAGATCTCTGAAATCTTGCCTGTGTAGAACTGCAGTTTCAGATTTATAATCTGAGTTTTTCTTTAAAAATAAATAAATTAGTGATCAGGCCCCTTTTGTGTAGGGAGGGAGTACTTCTGTTTCAAAGTTGCACTCATTTCCTTTTCTCATTTTTATTCTAATAATAAAATAGCTGTATTTGCTCAGGAAAGCTCTTCCAGTTCCATATATTTCAGTGGAATAAAAAATGCTGTCCTTATCTCCCCAGATATTTTTATGTATACATTTCAATTGCTGGCAAGTAGACTGCTCTGTGGATTTTTTTTTTTAAGTGAGTTGTCACTACCAAATAAAATATTTGAAGAAATACTGAGAGTTCTGTCGGAATAAAGGATCTGTTAGTAAGGGTCTTTAATGAAGCTTTAGATTCCTATCTGTCAAAGCAATCCGAGCATGTAATTCTCATCTACCAGGAAATAGCAATTGTTGGGAGTGGAAACTCATGTGTTTAACTCAGCGTTTCCTGCTGATTCTTCTGGAGGGCATGAGAGTTTGGAGCCAGTCACTTATGCAGCAAGGTGAGGGCAAAAAGGGTGAGAGGCCAGAGGTTCCACCTCCCAATTCCATAAAGAATCTATGCCTAGAGGTCAATTTCTCTCATCTGTTCCCATGGCTTCTTGTCTCTCCGGCAGGACTAATCTGAACCTATGAACCTCAGCTGCCCCCTCAGTTTGTTATACAGCACAAAGAGTGAAAACCACTTATGCGAGCTACCTCTGCAGGTTTTGGAAGGAACCTTCTGGCCCTGCTTGACCTTTATCTCCAAACCCACAGAGCTGTGTACTCATAAAGTGGGTTCCCTTGGATCACGGGGAGGGGAGAGCATGATGTGGAGGAGACACTTACCCTGCTGTGATCCAAAAGAGAGGCCTGAATAGTAGTTAAAATACAACAAAAATAAGGCAAAATGAAGAAGTCTGAATGGAAATTTCTTGTTACCTTTTCCCCCTCCAGGTGGAGTAAAATATACAGTGTTATTGCAAAGAAAACTCTTCGAGGACAATCAGCCAGAACTCAGCTGTGTTAAAATTAAAGGTGTGAAGGTACCCAGTGCACCAGAGAAACCTGCAATGGGTTTTGCAGCAGGTAAAGTACTATGAACACAGGCTGGGTGGGGACCCTGGGATAAGGAGCCCAGAGAGGGAAATGGGGGTTGGGAGCTGGAAGCAGGGACTGGAAAAACTGGGATTCATATGTAGAGCCCTGAGAGAGAGGCTGCAACTGGCTAGGCAAGGAGACTGAAACATGAATGCAGAGCCCGAGAGGAGAGGCTGAAACTGGCTAGGCAAGGATACTAAGGCTGACATGAGTAGTTGAGGGCTTGAGTGTGGGGACTGAGAGGAGTGACTGGGTGAAGGAGTGGCATGACTGACACAGAGGCTGGACAGGATGCAGGTAGAAGGGGTCAGGCAAGGGGAAAAGGGTCAGAAGGGATCTATACCCACTAGAGCACTTTTCCCTCCAGAACCTGGAGTGGACCACAAGATTCCTGAGTTTCACCATTCATCTACTGTCAGCAAATATCTGTGAAGCCCACTGGCAAAGTGTTTCTGATCCCCCTCTCATGGCTACTTTTGCTACCAGTTACTCTATTAGCTGAAGTGACAAAGGACTGTTATGTGAACCTAAAGGTTCTAACCCTGCGGATGACCTATGTAGGGCTCAGTAGGATGCCACGAGGGGATCTGTCTTTTTAGTTTGCTTTTCTATAAACCTAGGAAATTACACACACAAAACTATTAACAGAATGTTGTTAAGGTTGCAGAGTCAAGCACTGAAAAGTTAGGAAATGCCAGAACTGCCTGTGCTTGACTATGCATTTTTTCATGTTCTTTTAACATAGTTTTGTGTGTGTGTGTGTGTGACAAATACACCTCTACCCGGATATAACGCGACCCGATATAACACGAATTTGGATATAACGCGGTAAAGCTGTGCTCCGTGGGGGGCGGGGCTGTGCACTCTGGCGGATCAAAGCAAGTTTGATATAACGCGGTTTCACCTATAATGTGGTAAGATTTTTTGGCTCCCGAGGAAAGCGTTATATTGGGGTAGAGGTGTAGTACTGTTTAGAGAGGAACCACCTGTGAACCTCCATAACCCTGTTCTGACTTAAATGTTTCTTAGGGAAGTACTTTCCTGTTTTTTATTAATGAAACATTGTAGTATTAGAATTTTGTTTGCTTCTCTTAGACTATGATACTGGGCTTGCATTTTTTCAAATGGAGGTGTAAAAATGAGACTCTGACTACTAAAGATCAGTAAAGGTGCAGTGGAAAACGTTACAATGTCAGCAGTGGGTGTTAGCATCAACTGTAATGTACTGGCTCTCAGTATATATGTACTTGTATGTTGGCAATAGTGCCATCTAGTGGCTGATCCACATAGAGGCTAATGGACCTGTTACTCTGACCAGCAAGGGAGATAATTCAAGTGGTAGAAGCCTGTGTTTTTGGAATGGAAGGACAATTCTGGCTTCTTATCTGCGTAGGTGTGTAAATTATCTAGTTGTTGCCTGCAACAGGTAGATTTTGTTACAGTGTCTTGGCCAGTTTCCATTTGGACAATTGCATTTTTCTTATTTAAATGAGTTCCCTTCCAGTTTCAGCTAAATAGAGAGTTCTGCACTTCTGGCCATAAACTGTTGTATAATGTTGCTGTAAATATGTTCTTATTTATATGTAACCAACAACACAGAACAGCCTTATGTCACCAAGAAGCATGTGTGCCTATTGCTAGGACTTAAGGTTTTGTTTGGCACAGATAGATTCTTTAGTAAGTTACAGTACAGCCTAGGCTTCCTGTTAGGGAGTCCTTTGCTAAGAGTAATCCCCTCCTGCAGGAGGATGATTTAGCTTGGCTGAGGGTGGTACACTATAGCATGACCGTAGGCATATATCAGTATTACACTCAAATGTATTTCTCCCCTCTTAAGGCTAAATCCTGCCTTGCACTATACTAGGGAGCAGGGCCGTAGCAACAAAGAACGTGGCCCCCTCCGAACGGTGGCCCCCTCCGAACATATGTCCGGGCGGGGCCCCTTACAATGCAGAAACTGGAATGCGGTATTTATTTTGCCACTTTTAGGGGCCCCCTTCCTTGCGGGGCCCCCTCCGGTCGGAGGGTACGGAGGGCGCTCGCTACGCCTCTGCTAGGGAGAAAAGAGTGCGTGACCTTTAAAAGCCCTACTGCTCAAGAGCACTTGGGATTGCATCCAGCTACGGTGTCAGTCCACACACTGAGTCTCCAAGTGGGCTTTCACCAGCTCTGCAAAGTGCCAGTTGCTGGGCGTATAAGCCATTCTTACTCAGTAGAGCAGTAAACAGCACATTGCAACCTGCCTGTTTCCTGTAGCTGCAGAATGGCTCTTGTGCCAGATATGCAACCAGTACCTCTCCACTCCCCTTCCTTGCTCAGTTCCTCCAGGCAGTGGTGGCAGGGTTTTGTGCGTAGCTGGTAGAATATCCTCACATATTTAATTAGAAATTTGCTCTAATTACCAACATCAAGGATGCTGAATTTCACTGCTAAAATTGCACAATACTTTTTCTTTAATAAATTTCAACTTTTTGAATTTCCTGCTCTATTTTATCTTTTAATTAAATCTTTATTGAATTCTAAGCTCAGGAGACGTACTGTACCATACTGATAGTACATAGAGAGCATACAGGGCCAGATCCTCAGCTGGCTGCAGTGGAGTCAATGGAGCTATGGTGATTTACACAGCCTGGGGATCTGGCCGGTAATATTGAGCGTGTGGGCTCATCTTGTATAAATATTAGCTGTAATATCAAAGACAAAATCTGAGTAAAATAAAGTAACATCTGGCATAAATAAGCAAAAAGGAATATATTATCCCTTAGTATACACGAATTTCCACACACAGATCCCGACAGCAAAGTCAGTACCTACCTAAACACAAACACTATTCAACACTAGGCACGTCACTACTCCAAAAATACCACTGTAGGTAACATACTTTTCTGTTTTCTGAGAGGTTTGTAGTTGTATTTTGACTAGTCTTACGGGATGCCCTGAAAAAGGAAATATTAGTAACAAACGTGAAACCTGTTTTACCTCAGGGGAAAGTAAGCCTTTACTGGAGGAAGCTGAACTGTATGAGGCACCAGCATCCCTTTCTGTTTTCCAATCTTTACTTCCTCCCTCAAGGACAGATGACTTTCCTTCAGTGAGGTAAGAATGCCTTCTGTTTACTCCCAAGGAGGTTATTACCACACTTGTCCTGGGATATGCTCACATGATTTAAGCAAAATTGAAAGCAGTTGTTTTTTTAAGGGTTGTCATGATTATGCTCTGATTTCAGGGTCTGCTAACTCTGACTTTTTGCATTCACATATGTTGGAGTTATATTAACTGTTACAAAGGAACAGCATAATTAAAACGCCCTTTAGACCAAAATATCAAGCTATGTGTGGTTTATTTTGGGGAAAGTACCTTTCACAAAAAATACAAACGTGTTACTTGTATAAAATTATCAACCTGTTTATTTCCAGACACTTACTTTCCTTTCAACTGAGTCCAGTGGCTTTAGAATTGCCAGAATTAGGCAGTGTGAATAAAACTAGATGCTTGCACTAGGAAATGTGATAACGGCTCTTGGCAAGAGAGAGAAAATGGGATGAAATGACAAGAACGTGGAACATGGTGGCCAAGTATGTGGAAATAGATGATCTCTGTGTGGAAGCTGAGAATGAGAAAGTTTTTTGCCTTGGTTTCAGTGTGTTGTTTTGAATATGTCAGGTGGGTCTTTTATTGTGAGATTGTGGTGAAAGTGTGAGAAGTTTGGACAGCTGTTGTTTGTGAGAATGCAGTACTATAAATCCCAGTCTCTTCTCGGCTATATGCCTAACTTTAGTATGCAAAGAGCTTTATTTCAGTTGTCTTATTTTATTCGTGTTCTGTTCTGTTACATAAACTGTTTAGTACTGAAATATGCCATTTGGAAGAACATTTTTCAAATGGTGAGGATGGAAACAACATTAAGACTTATTAGCAGAAAGTCTTGTATACAATAATAAGCACCATTGACTTGTGAGCTGAACAGATTAATTCTGTAAATACAGATATTTACAAGGCCAAATTCTGCTCTGATACACTGGTGTAAATGTTGGGTAACTCCCTTGAAACAAGTGGGAATCACTCTGGATTTACATTGCTGTAACTAAGAAGTTCATGGGCTAAATTCTGCTTTATTTACAAGAGCAATTGTTCATGTTGTCAGTTTAATGCCTCAGAATCGCTGAATAGTTTTTGAAGTCTGATGCAATTATCAGTAATGTTCTTTCCTGACAATAAACATGCAACATCCTAAAATTTACAAAAGCCTACAGAGTTCAGGGCAGTGGAAATAATATTTTTTTAAAAATTAGTCAATTTAAAAGAAATCAAATTGCCTGTGTCCCATAATATCCATTGTTAAATGAAAGCTTTGCACTTTGGTGAAGTAAAAATAATTAAACAAATGGAGTGCATTTCCAGTTCAATATCTTAAAAACAAAACAGTTTGTTGCATTTTTTTTATTGATTTCCTCAGGGTTTTCACTTTTTTTCTAAAAATCGTGCCCGTGTTCATATGTACAATATATCTTGTCATCAGATTCTTAGACCATTTTACTTTCTATCACACAACATTTGGAATGTCTTCATCGTAAGGCATTTGAGCAAGATTTATGCAGAATTCTTTTCCTTATTACTGAACCAGCCAAGATTATGGGCCTGGTCAATGAAAAGACTTGCATTGACTTCACTGGACTTTAGAGCAAACCCTACTGGTAGACTCTTCTGAGCAATGTATGTGTACTAGGAACAGTACTCATTAGCATGGGTTACTACTGTAAGGCTACATCTACACTGCCAACCCACTGGCAGCATTTAGGGTATGTGTAGCTACATGCCGCAGTGCAAAACAGGCTGCATCCACACTGAGGTGTGTAGCTACACGTTAGTGAAAGGCTCAGGCAGCAGGGAGCTGTCGGAGAACACTAAATTGCTAAAAACAGCAGTGTAGATGTGGGAGGCATTGCTTGGGCATGTAGAGAGCCATATAAGGTTCATACCCACAGGGT